ATAAGTTATATATTATAAGATTAAGATTATGTATGATTATGATTATGATTATTATTGCGATTTTTTTTTTTATTTTTTAACAATGAACGACCACCCGACCGAATATGACGATATTTTACAATCTAATTAAGTTGTTCGTTTTATTTTTCTTATTTTCTTTTTTTTTTTTCTTTCTTTTACACGTCATTTCCTTACATTTCCTCCCTTTCCCTTCCTTTACCGCAACCCCACCCCTCCCCCGGCCACATTTATTGTCATTTCTATTTTTTTAAAAACTGTGTTCCATCCCCCTTTTCTTTCCTCATAGTTTTTTACGATAGAAATGACGACGACGACGACGTTGACGACGACGACGATAATGATGATGATGATGATGATGAAAATGATGATGAAAATGATGATGATGATGATGATGATGATTTTTCTCGAACGTCATTAAGGGTAATTTAATCTTACGTAATACAAAGTGTCTTTCACTCATCGAAACTGACATTTGATGTATTAAATGTTATCGAACGGGAATTGAAGTTTTTTCTATATTGCACTGCCGTATAAATGCGGTTAGTTGCAAATATTCCACAAAGAGACACACACGAGAGGATAATACACATTTATATTTAAGTAGCTTTACACTATTATTAATGACGATTATTATTATTACACGTGAGGCGGGAAGGGGTGGGGGGGGGGGAAGGGGTGGGGAATACAACCAACAACAAATCAACAACAACAGAAAAAAAAAAAAACAGAAAAAAAGTAATAATAAAAAGAAAAAAAAAGGAGAGATGGGGTTAAAAAGAATAAAAAAAAAGAAAAAGATGAGATAAGATGAGAAAAGATAAAAGAAAAGAAAAGAAAAGAAAAGAAAGGAAAGGAAAACAAAATATAAATTAGTGTGTGGAGATGTTTATACTTAGGACGATGCATACGTTTAAAACTGTGGTTACAATTATTATGGATTATTATTATTAACTACGAATAAATAATATAAAATTAGTGACAAAACACATGGACAAGACCATCCAGTTGCAGCACAGTAGGTAGGCACACCCCAATACAGTAAGATTATTGTAAGAGGAATATTATTAATAATAATTATAATATGACTGCTCGTTTTATGCTCGGCGCTATACATTTCATTGTCATTATTATATCACCATTTATTAACGATATACATACGAACAAATAAAATGTGTTTATAAATATAACGTGATCTTTAAGAAATTCGTCTGGAATTTTATTGTTCCACGATGATGATGATGAATTATTATTATTATTATTATTATTTTTAAAATAATCTTTCGTTTTTTACTTATATTTTTTTTGGTTTCTATTTTAATTAAATTGTTGTTGAGAGGAAGGTGGGATTACTAGAAGGAATGAATGAATGAATGATTAATTTTATTAAGTAAGAAAACAACCCTTGTGATTTTTTCTTTTTTCTCATTTGATCAACGACGATTTATTTTATATCGTACAATTTAAGTATTTTGTGCTAATCTTTATCAACGACGAGATCTCTTGGCAATTTTTTTCCTATTACTCGTTTATTTCACATTTTGGGGCCAGATAATTAATAAGTATCCTCGATTTTAAATCTAATAATACAGATTATAATCTAATAATTACGACACTATCGAACGAATCTCTTCTTTACGGATTTTTTTTTTACTTTTCCTTTTATTTTATTATATATTGGTTTTTTTTTTCTAATTTTTTAATTTTTTATTTAATTATCTTTCGATTAACGATTTATATCAACGCTAATATCTCTATCTTTTCTCAATTATTAAGATATGTTTTGTATTGCTACAATTTTATAAACAATATATAGTTTTTTTAATTAATGATAAGAAGAATAAGTAGAATGTTGTAAAGGGATTCTACTGTGCATCATTACTAAAAACTAATATTATTAATCATAGTCGATAAAGTCACGATAATAATAATAATATATATATAGTACATAAATATTATACGTACTATTTATACATACGTATCTGGTAAAAAACTATTAACGCATTCTTTTTCTTTTTTTTTTTTTTTATACATCGAATATATCTCTATCTCTAGCTCTACATATTTTATCTTTTTATTCTTTAACTCCTTTTTTATCTCACGTTTTAAACGTGCGTTGAAATTTTCTTATTAGTAATCCATTGCGTGTGTGTGTGTGTGTTTGTGTATGTTTGAATCACCGACAAAATGGCGCGACAGTGTGTTAAAGCGTATATATAATTTCATTTTTTTTTTTTTTTTTTACAGTAATCGTAAGTATATCCTTTTCTTTCTTTCTTTTTTTTTTTTTTTACAATAAATATATTCGGTCCCAAATCAAATCGAGGTAGCACGATTACGTTTTATCAAATGTTTATCTTTGTTTGTTTGTTTTTTTTTGTTAAACAACGACGTATGACATAGTTTTTCTTATGTCGATGCATAATATATTTTTGATTAATTATCATTATTATAATTTTTAAGGGACATTATTAATGGAACTTTTTGCGTGACCAATTGGACGATGTCAGAACAATTAATTGACAATTATATTTTGCTATTTATTTAACGATCGAAATGTCGTATATATTTTCTGTCTCGTTTAAATTTCATTTTTATTATTGAATTTTTGACCAATTATAAACACGAGCTAGAGATTATTATTATTTTTGTTGTTGTTGTTTCTTTATCATTGACAAAAGGGGGGGGGGGAGGAATATTTTATTTCTTTTCTTTGTTTTCTGATTTTTTTTTTTTCTTTGGTTTTCTTTGTGTGTTAGAAAAATTAGAGAACTTTGAATATTTCTTAAATCGAGACCACGCTATTGCTACGATTCTTAATTATATTGCTTCGATTCGGCTATCGCATTAATGCGCATGTATATATATAATAATTAATTTGTTTATTATATATATTTTTTTTTGTTATTACCACGAAAATATTTATGTGTTATATTTCTAATCGATCACGAGGCTCAAAGCGATCAAAAAACTGAGCAAAACACACTGCTGATGTGCTCCCCTAAAATTGTATTGTTTATAATTTGTTTTCTTTTATTTTTACTTTAACTTTACTTTACTTTTTTGTTTTAATTGCGAAACTACTTGCAACAACTATATTCCATTCTAATTATTCCTTGCACTTAGCTTCGAATATCACCGATTAATTAATTAATATAACTTTCTCATTTTTCTATTTCATTCTTTTCGTTTAATTTTCATTTTTATTCATTTCATTATATATATATATTTTTGTTTGTTTGTTTTTCTATTTAACCATCGAAAACGAGTAAATAACAATTAATCGCGGATGGATTTTTATATGCGAAAGATAGATAGATAGATAGATAGATAGATAAATTACTCTCGATAAATCTTTCGATTATTATCGTAATCTCGAAAAAGTTACTCAAGTTAATTAAATATTGTATCGATTAATAATCAATTAATGAAACATCCTTTGTCAATTTGTACCTTAGAAAAAGGGGCGACAATAGCAGCGAGATTAGACGGAATGTTTGGAACATTAGATTGATATCCCGTTAATACTAATTCATATTATTTTTATCCACACGATCTTAATATACATATACATATACATATAATATGTATACATATATCTCAACCCTTTATTTTTATCATTCAATAATCCGGGACCAGCCGGTTAAGAAAAATCCGTAAACAATTTGTTTGTTTCTTCCAAGTTTAAAATAATAGAACGTTCAACGTCCTATTTTTTTTTCTCTCTCTCTCTCTTTTTCTTTATACTCAAAAGATCAAATTAAAAAAGAACACCTCACTTTTGAGAGAGAGAGAGAGAGAGAATATATAAAGAAATTTATCATTAGAACGTGAGACATTTTTGTTAAGACTAAAATGAAGAAATCTTTGTCAACTTAAATAGAGATACACACCACTCACATGCTCATTTTGATTCATTCATACATAACATGCATACATATATATATTCCTGAGGTAACTAAAGACATAATAACAATATATAGATGACCTTTTTTTTATCCTTCCTTCCTTCCATCATCGAGTGCATTCTTTTTTTTTCCTTTTTTTTTTTCTTCATTCAAGATAACAAGTCGTGAAAAGATGACCAACAACAACGAGATTAAATTCTCGAAATATCGATTGTGGGTTCAAAGAAACAATATTAAGTTATTGTTATACGTTATCCTCTTCTCTGTCATAATATAATCGATAAAAAACGTTGGTCTACTAGTAAGGGAAGATTATTATTATTATTATTATTTAGAAGGCTGTACTGGCTGTTGCAGTAGTAGTTGATTGCACGCCGGATTCAGAATTTGGACGTCCGGCGTGTAGCTACAGCTACGTTGATGCTGCCAAACTGATGGATGTTGATTCGGTCACAGCAGAACGTGGTTTGGCATCTAACGAATTGTACAATGGATATTCGCAGCATAAAACAAATTTCAGGAAACGTGGTACTTCGACATAGATCGATGGAGGAATTGGTATCAACGGTGACGTTGATTGTTTGTAATAACGATAATCTGCGTTACTAAAATGAAAACATCAAACGAATTTCATTAGATTGTTTTCCTAATTATACATTGAAGGTAAGTATTGTATGTATATATATGTATATGAGCTGAATTGAAAAGTTTTTCAATAATATAATAATTAAATTGATTGTATAAAAATGAAATTGTTGAATAATTTTTTAACATATATTTCAATTTATACGAGAATAATATATTTCGTTAGTTATTTTTATTAGATGCTTCGAATTTATGATCCATAAATATTTTTCTAATAAAATTCTTATTTTATACATTTATATATATATATATATATATATTTTTAAATTATTAATATTAAAATTCCTTTTTCTTTTGATTGAACTATAAAAAAAAAGACAATCAATCGATTTCGTCGATAAATAATAATAGCTCTACGAAGAAAAAGTTTGAAGTATCTTATAATATATCGGTAATATGAAAGTGTTTGTTAACGATAATTTTAAAAATAGAAACACTTACTCTCGATATCTCTCATCCGAGGCCTTTTCAAGCAAAGGCATACCCGATAAGAAGAGGATGATGATCGTTGTAAAGATCGGTGAAGCGATAACGACCCATTCGGCTCCTTCAATCACGTTCAAGGAAATTACAAAGATACCCCACCATACTACGATTTCTCCGAAATAATTAGGATGCCTAGATAATCTCCATAATCCTATAATTATATTATATGTGATCATAATTGTATTATATATTATTCTCAATTATAATTAATATTTCATTATATATATATATATATACATAGAACTTTACCATCGTTACACCATTTCCCATTATTTACGGGATCCTGTTTGAAAGCAAACTTTTGTAAATCAGCATAGGTTTCCGCAGCGAGCCCAATTATGAATAAACCAGTACCAGCACTATCAAAATTGGTCATCGTTTTTGGCGCCGGTGGGATTTTGTGACGTGGTGAGTTTATGATTATCACCGGTAAACTTACTACGTAAACCCATACAGCCTGCCAATGGGGAAAGATAAAAATGCTGTTTTTACACATAGTTATCAATGATAAAATATGATAAAAGATTCGACCCACTTGGCAGATGATTTGTAAAATCGATAGCAAGCATATGTATGATGTAATAAATATTATACAAAAAAAAATAAATCTTGGCTTCTAATATTGGCAGTAATAACTATTTCTTATTCCAATAAAACATACACGACGTTCTTCGATATCTACTCTTTTTGATAGATTCATAAATTATTATTATTATTATTATTAATAGAGTAAATATATTCTATATGCAAAGTGTGTGTGTACCTGAAAGGTCCAAAATACTGCGAAACGAATAACATTACTCCTACGATCTGCGAATCTTTTATCACGTCCAATCTTAACGATTCGGTAGAGAAGATATCCCGATAATCGTACACCCCATAGACAGACAAATACGGTCACCATAAGTTGCCGGCTGTCGTAAGTCTGCGATAAATGAAAAATGTAATATGATTTAATTAGAAATAATTTAATCTCGCGTACAATTTTCTTTTTTTTTTACACGATGCATGCGCGCGTATGTGCATATTATAACAATGATTTTAAATATGATCAAACGATTATTATAAATAATATATATTATTGTTATATAAATATATATATAAATGAAAATTTTTTTTGGCATATATTTTTTATAGTTAAATATTTTTGTTGAATAATAATAGGATGCACATGCATCATCATCATCATCATCTTAGGAGCATCGACACGCATAAATTATTACACATCATCGTCTCTTCATGATGCACAAGCAAAATAGAAGAAAAGTGTTTGTTATAATTAGCGTCTGGTATTTTTTTTTTTAGTAATACCTTGCCCACTTGACCAAGAAAAAAAGTTAGAAGGGCGAGTATAATGAAATTTGTGCCACCGGCAAAGTCCGTCAATTTGTCCAGCTGAAATGTAGCAGCTATAGTGAAGAATATCAGTTGCATTCCGACCGTAACGATTGCGCTCACGGCCAAATGATCCTCGTCTAAAATATCCACCGCCATTTTTCCCTTTCCTCCTGCTTCTTCACCGCGGTGTTTCTATCTCCTCCTCCACCTCCTCCTCCTCCACCCCCTTCTTTTCTCCTTCACCCCTTTTATCGTTCTCTTAGTCTCTTTTAATACGAATTATCTACTGTGGATCTGTGAAACGTTTATTATTATTATTATGATTAGTATTGTTTTGATATTTTGATTTTGTTTCGTTTAATTAAAATAATATGAAAGAAATATTATTGTTCTTCGATATAATTACTTTGAAATATTTATTATTTTGTGTTACGAATGAATGAATGAATTAATGAATTAATTAATTAATTTAGTTTCGTAAGTATTGAACAAAATATTTAACGAATAATTTGTTTTTTTCATTTACGTAATCGACTAATCATATTGGCGCGAATTTATGTTAGATAAGTAACATCGAAACTATCAAACTACTGAATTATGGATCACTGCTAGACTATATATTTCGCATAGATATGTAAGTATTATATTATCTGCATACGTCGCATTGCAGGAATCAAAAACATGATAAACGAATGAATGAGAAGCATGATGATAGAGAGATAGTTGAAAGAAGAGAAAATACGTGTATTTTTTTGTTTTTACAAATTACAAAATATTAGACGAGTCTCGAAAGAGAAAGTAAATAATGTTAAGAAATATTGCATTATTTTTCTATTTTTCTATTCATTTCTAATTTTAATAATAATAACGACACAAAAAAGAAAGATATACGATCTCGAAAGGATGAAAATATTGAACGCGTATCGATTCTCTCTCTCTCTCTCTCTCTCTCTCTCTCTCTTTCTCAATGAATAATATCAAATTATATTTGGAAAAGAAAAAAATCAAAAAATATATATATATCGTATTTGAATACTATAAGATATAACAGAGAGAGAAAAATAAAAAGAAAATAAGATAGAAGAAAAAAATATAATTTCTATAGGATGTATTATTTTATAATACCTCTCGCGAGGTGTGCTGGTGCCTCATTTCAGCTGATTTTTCCTTTGGACGTTTTACGTCCACGTTGGAGGAAGAAACAGGAACGACTACTAACGCCGGCGAAAATTCAATGTCGAATCTAAAACGAGAGGTGTTCTACACCACGATCACGTGTTACATTTTCGAACTAAGTAAAAGCACATTGACGGCGGTAGCCTCCACGATATTTTCCACTTCTCCTCTTTCTTTTTCCTTCTCGTATTATTTTTTATTCTTTTCTTTTCTTTTATCCTCCACCCACTACTCTTCTTTCTTAAACTATTCGTTCGCTTTTTTTCTTTTCTCTCTCTMCCCCCCCCCCACCCCCCCCAAGAACAATTCTTTTTCTCTCACGTCTTATCTTTATTCTATTTCTTTTTCCACCCTCTTTAATTTCTAACTATTTTCTTTTACTACATTTTTCACCCTTGTTTTTCCATCCATTTTCCCTCTCTCTTTCTTTCTCTTTCTTATATTATATTTTTTCTTTGTTTTCCATCCACTCTTCCTTTCTTCCTTCCTTTCTCACTTTTTACTCTTACACTATTATTTTCCGTTTTTTTTCATTCAACGTTCACCCACCCACCTCTTTCTATCTTCCTTCGTGTTTGTTCTACCCGTCTCTTTCTCTCTTCTCGGTATCATTTAAAGTCAGTAAGAGGAGCGTGCGCAATTGAACATCATCCACCCCTATTTTCTATATTTTCTTTTCACCCTCCCTTTTGCGCAATAGTTGCATAGTAATCTGCGCATATTGGACCAACGAATCGATAGGATGCGCAAGAGTGCACAAAAAGTTGCTAACGAACGATGAAAGAGGGTTTTAAAGATGATGGTCAAAATCTTCCCCAACCGAAGTATCTCTATTTTTTTCTTCTCTTCTTTTTTTGCTTTCTATAGGAAGAAAATAATGTAATGCATTTATAATTCATTTGTTTGTACTTTACTTTTGGAGGGTATTTAAATTTATTGACGGATTGAGAGGGGATGTATGCAAATCAATTTAAATTTTGTGCGCCTTTATCGTATTAGGGAGGGGGATGGATTCACGTGAGCAAAACAGTTGAGGGATGATGATATTTTAGAAAATAACAAATTGTGAAATTCGTGGCAGTGTTTTGTTTTTTCCTTCTTTCTTTTTTTTTCTTTTTTTTATTATTATTATTATTATTTAAAAATAATATATAACGCGACATTGTGTTAAGAATAAATTATGTTTATTCCAATAATATAAGATTGTACCTTTAATGAATGTTATTAGAATAATAATTAAATATCCTAAATATAAATTGCAACAAGATTCAAGAAGGAAGGTAACGACGTTACGTTCCTTTTGTACATTGAACTTAACTTATTATCTCATGTTTTTTGTTTTTAAATATATGTAATTTCAAAATGGAATCATTGATTTACTTATAGGAAGTGTAAAAAGTTTGTAATAGACACGCGTCAAGTGGATGCACATTCGACGAAGAAGATGCATTGCATGAATAATCACACTTTGCATGGTTAATACAAAAGCAAATCTCTTTATGTAAAATTAATGTTTAACAGTTCTCGCTAATCTTACACGTGTAATTGAAACATTCTCCTCCTCCTCCTGATAAGTCTTATTTGCGATGTAATCCCATTTAACATAATTTTTGTATCCTTAAGATCTGGTGTACTTTCCCCAAATGTGAAGCATGAACACGGATGCGATGAATAAGAGAGACATAACCAGTACTGGTACAGGACCTCTGAATATATAAACATATTATATATTACATTGATATTTTCTAAGATTTATTAATTACCAATAAAAGAGATTCTTATTGCTAATCATAAAGGAAGGAAGTGTATGGTATATTTATTCCTTTGATAAATATACCCATACGTTACAACAAATAATCGGTTAAGTCAGACAATAGTAATAAATAAGTAGCTTACACTTTGATACCAGGCGAATCATCCGTATAAAATCTCCACATACCACCAGAGCTTGTACCAGTGTTTCTATTTCTAGAGGATGTAGCAGTGGCAGTTTTGCGTTGTCTGACAGTACCACTGCCACCTGCTCTAGGTGCTATAGCTTTGCTAGGTGAACGACCGCCAGATCCAACCGACGTTGCACTAGGTGCAGCAGGCTTCAAATAACACACAAATTCTTCTGTTAATATCGTTTACTTTGAAATCAATCAATAAGGATAAGAAAAAAGTAATAAAATTCTCTATTTTCTCATTGTATTACTTACCATTGTGGTTTCTGATAATTAAATTTACTTTCAAACGAAAAGTATTTTATCACAGTAGTAATTTTGTAGTCAATAAAACAAATTCTTTAACGTCAAATATTCTAACGTTGTAGAAGTTTAATAGGACGGATATATAAATGAATAATTGGAAGTTTCGTGATGCACTAAACGATAGCCGTTTGCCTATCACTTGAAATTACGTTTTGAACACTCGCTTCCGTCTGAAGTGCACCGATCAACGACGTGTCATATGTATACGATACACGTGGTGCATCTCTGACACGTCATCGAAATCGGCTATATTCGTCTTCCTCGTTGGCTGCGTCATTTAAGGTAAATTTTCATGAAAGCTTATAAAATTCGACACTTAAGGGCGCTGCTCGCGTCATCCGCAATTGGCGCTTAATTCAAATACCCTCAATTTTTCTTCATTTGTATTCGAAAATTTATATATTAGGAATAAATGAAATATTTTTAATAACTAAGGATTATAAGGAAAGCATCCAACGACGAAAATATATTGTTAACAATTTCTTTGGTATTTTTTTTAATAACATCACGGTATTCATCTACAATTCATGTGACAAAATAAAAAATATATAAATCAATAAGAAATGTATAATAGAGTATACTTGAATCATAATTAAATGTTTATAAATTCGTTATAAAGAACACGGTATTTGTACCTTAATCTTATGTGTATATGAGGAGTTATGATATATACTCGCAAATATACTAAAATGTGCCAACCATTTTGAGAAAAACAATTTTTATTAAAAGCTGGCCCTTTTCTTTTTTTTTTTTTAAATCTTCGATATTGCCTCACAGCTTAAACTTTAGGTCTAATATTTTGGTTCTTTGGAAAAAGTATTTATATGTTTATAGTTTTATGAAGGAAATATATAATCGTGATATATAAAAAATATGTATGAATATTAATTATTATATAGATTAAAAAATTATTATAAGCAATATATATACTATATTATTTATACAGAATTTCTTTCATCAAAATTAATAAAAAAACAAATCTTTGAGTATCTACATTAGCACTAAAAAGTCAACATTTGTTCACAACATTGTATGCGAAATGATATTTTGTTAGAAATCAATGTTCTACATCACCAAAATAGTAGACCTAATTTTTAGCATTACGAATTTTTTAATACATAGTTTTTTCTTCCCACATATATTGTATCATACACTATAATGAATGTATTTCATGTGTGTTTATGTCTGAACTTTGATAGTTCTGATGTTCATAGACTAGGCTTCACACAGTTATGGCTTAAAATTTATATTTAAGATGTAATTGAGAAGCAGCGCATTTGCAAATGCCTTTACTATTACAATCGGAAATAGAAAAGGAAGTCACGCATTGGTGCAGGAACTTTTGTTCTTTTTTTCTTCTTTCTTTCTTTCTTTCTTTTCACTTATAATATGCAATGTATCCGAAGTCAATAGTATAAAGTAAAAAAAAAAAAAAAAGAAATATGATTTTACTTTTATTCATATAAAAGTATTCTCTCTCTATCTCTCTCTCTCAAAGATTTAGAATTTTAATTCAGGAATAAAAATAAATGATGATAAAGTTATTAAATTTGTTTGTGAAGCATTCTTCTTCTTGTGTTAATGTAGTTATACTACAAAGAAACATAGTCATCATTAATTTATGAAATGCTTAGAAGTTCATCTATTACATGCATCCTAATCATCTAACAAATCTCAAATATTACCTAATAGCATTCTTGTCAAATTGTAAGTCATAATCAAATTATATTATAGGTATTTCCATCATATTTTTGTTTTTATAAACGATCTTTGAAGTAGAACTCTTATAGTATAATAATGATACTATAATTGCTTTGTAGAAATGTCAAAAAATTGTTTTAAAAATGCATTAAGTTCGTATTCTATTGAAACGCTTTGGCCTTCGTTTGTTCCGTTTCAGGCATATTTTTAATCGTGTATCATTGAGTAAGACAACTCTGAAAACTCGCATTCCTAATTGTCTTATTTATCAAATTAAGTAAAATAAGTTTAATATTTTTTTATATATATATGTATATAATCATTTCTGTTGAGTATTACTTAATTATAAAAGTAAGAAATTTGTAATAAATTGAAAATTTGGCACCATTTTTATATTATGAAAATTCTTTAAAATTCTGTATAAATTTCTTTTTCTTTTGTTTCATTATATTTATAGTATAATCTGAACGTTTTTCTCTTAACGTACCAAATTAATATTAATAGTAACATTACTGGTGCACGTCAGATATGGTGTACATATAATTCATATTTTCTTTTTTATCAACAACAATAAAATATAACAACAATAAATGTATGCCTGATACTGAGACTTATTAATTATTTAAAGTATTCATGATTATCTAATAAAACTAAATTATTGTTACCAAGAATAAAGTCTTTAGAACACGGAAAACATCACATTGCAACGTGTCATTCAGTGATTTTAGTACACACCATAGTCATTATATGATGATATTTCATATTATAAAACAGTTTGTACTTTTTAAAGTTTCTTGTTAAATTCGGTCTTCAAAAATGTTGTTTTTCTTTATCGTACTAATATAGAATCAATTGATATACATTATCTTGAGAACACTGACATTGATGAGTTTTACATTGTTGCTCGTTATCTGATATTAATCTGACACGATGCACAAATGAATGAGTTTTATGTCAAAATGAAATATGAAATAAATATTATTTTATATTTTTTGTTTGGTCCAACTTAAGTACTGGTTACGCCTTTGCGTGCTACCAATAAGTTTAATATTGGATGTTTCTTTATATAAGAGACAGCTTTTTTATGAGTGACCATTGTGAAATCATATCCATTACACTGTAGAATTTTGTCGTGCATTCTAAGACCACTTTTAGCTGCTGGTGATCCTTCGTGAACTTCGGTTACATATATACCCTGAAATAGTAACATTTCTTTATAGCTTAGATAACTTTACTCATTACACACACAATTATGATTTTAAATAATATTCTTAAAATACATTATCCGTATAGCCTTGCGGACTCTTTCGATAATCTTGATCTATTCCTCCTCCGATTTTAAATCCACATTTCATAACTTCTTCTCCGTTTTCATTAACTTCTGTTTCTTTATGCAAAGTTATCGGTATCTATAGATAAAAATGGATATGTTATATATTTCACAATCACACATGAAGATAATGTTATAAATATATTGTTTACAACTCTCTCTTTTTGAATTATTAATAATTCCTTGATTAATAAGATGTTCTAAAAGGCAAGATTTGAATATGCAATTGAAACATTTAATATCATTGAAATGAATCATCCAAGGTAAACTTAAAATAAACAAAATTTTAATCCCAATAAAACTTACACTCAGGCATTCCATCGCGGTGCCCGCTTGGTGCTGAAAAGCCATTTTTGCGCACATTTTGACTGATTTTCTTGAACACTCGGTTTTTTTTAACAAAAATTAATCTAAATTTCGCGATGACACGAGTTACACACACGCCCTAAACACGTCAAAGTAATCAACGTGATGTTAACGTGAATAGAATTTAGAATAATCCGAATTTCACAATCGGTTTAAGCGTCGACAATAATTATTTATTTGTTAACTTTCATTCCTTTGTTTATTTAATTATGCATACGATGCACTTTCTCTAAAAAAGCTTGAAATATTCAATTGAACTATGCTAATCAACATACGCTCTTCTTCAGCGTAGTTAAGAATATCGATGCATAATATTGCCAAAGAATGCAGAAGTGCATAGAAGCCCACAAGACCATTTTTTGCCTAACCACATTCATTTAAGTTACTAACCTGAAAACCAGTGGGCGATAGTAGGTATTTAAAGTGATGATGGTACAATACTATCAAAGAATATTGGATTCTTTGATAGTATATGATAGTATATGCTATATACTTTGATAATATATATAGTATAGTTATATTGTAATATAATTATATTAAATTTTTAATGTTTATACAAGTGTGTGCCTTCAGAAATGCATTTATATATATATATTTTAAAATGAAGCAATATTTAGGCCACTCAAATAAAAAAGAATTCAGAAGATTTGATGATAAATCCAACGATGATCACCTGTAACAAAAAGCAAACTATATTAGTCATACAGTCAAGTAGTGATAAAATAGCCTGACATATTAATCGTCCAATTCACAGATGCACTTTTCAATTGAATCCTTTATTTACTTTTTATCAAATCTCTAATTAAC